CCGTTCGAGGTTCGTTCGAAACCCGGTCAGAATCGGTCCCCGGACCCCTCTGGGGGTCCATCCGACGCAGTTTTTCACCCCAGACCGATTTTTCGGGTCCCCGGGGCCCGAAAGCGGCCTCCGGGGGCCGATAACGCTGAAAAAACTCCTCGAGCCCCGAAGTCCGCACGACGACGAAAAATCGATGCCCCGCGCGTCGGGCGCACAGGCGGCGGCAGCGGCGGGGGAGGAGGAAAGTGGGAGGGGGAGGGGGTACACGTCGAGGTTCAAACCTCGAGCCTCGAGGTCAGCTCTCGGGGACCCTTCTCGTCGCCACGGCTAGGTAGCACTAAAACCAGAAACACCAACACCAGCACCAGCACCAGCAGCAACACCACCGCCACCACTACCAACAGCAGCAACAGCACCAGCAGCAGCAGCACCAGCGGCAGCACCAACAGCACGAGAACCAGCAACACCAGCAGCAGCACTAGCAGCAGCAGCAGCAGCAGCAGCAGCAGCAGCAGCACCAGCATCACCAGCAGCAGCAGTTCCAGCAGTAGCAACAGCACCGACAGCAGTACCCGCACCCTTCGCTACCAGAGATCTCCCAATTCACCGTTGTTGCCAACGCTGTTTCACTATGTGCGTCTCTTCCTCCCTTCTCCCGTCAGCTCTCCTGGGCATCGTTCCTGGATGGGCTGGTGGGGATACGCGAAGCGTCAAGAATTCGCCTGGGCATCGTTTCCGGATGGGCTGGTGGGGATACGCGAAGCGCCAAGATCTTTTTTTACAGCGAGCTTGTGCTGCTGCTCCCACAAGATGCGCTGGCAAGCATGGACAAACAAATGATCAATGATCAGGGAACCATCGCAGCACCTGGGCACCCTTTGCGTCAACCATGTGCGCGTGACCACTTTCACGCTTTCACTCTGCGGCGAATGGTGACTAGAGCCCATGGGTTCCAGCCTCCATGGTGCACCTCCTGGCCCTCAGGGTTGATGAGGATCCTTGCGACGAAGAGCCCGTCCAAGTAGATGCGCGCATTGCTCTCGGTGTGGAACCTGTAGACCTTGACATTGCCCGGGCCCTCCTCGGTGGCGACCTTCCACTTGCCGTTAGAATCCTGCAAGACACGGGCGCGGATGGCGTTCACTGCCCATTGGTTCCCCCCGCTTCCATGGCGCACCTCCTGACCTTCAGGATTGATGAGGATCCTTGCGACGAAGAGCCCGTCCAAGTAGATGCGCGCATTGCTCTCGGTGTCGAAGTTGTAGACCTTGACATTGCCCGGGCCCTCCTCGGTGGCGACCTTCCACTTGCCGTTAGAATCCTGCAAGACACGGGCGCGGATGGCGTTCACTGCCCATTGGTTCCCCCCGCTTCCATGGCGCACCTCCTGACCTTCAGGATTGATGAGGATCCTTGCGACGAAGAGCCCGTCCAAGTAGATGCGCGCATTGCTCTCGGTGTCGAAGTTGTAGACCTTGACATTGCCCGGGCCCTCCTCGGTGGCGACCTTCCACTTGCCGTTAGAATCCTGCAAGACACGGGCGCGGATGGCGTTCACTGCCCATTGGTTCCCCCCGCTTCCATGGCGCACCTCCTGACCTTCAGGATTGACGAGGATCCTTGCCACGAAGAGGCCATCCAAAAACCCGCGTGCATTCCGCTCGGTGTCAAAGAAGTACAGCTGGATGTTGCCTGGACCCTCCTCGGTGGCGACCTTCCACTTGCCATTGAAGGATTGAGACATACTTGTGCGGATTCTGCTGAGAGCCCAAGGATTTAGACCTCCACATTTATGCTCCTGCATGTGAGCATCATACATCACCCAACCAACTGTGATTTTGCTGGTGAATTCGTCGGAAGCCTGCTCGGTCTTGAACTCGTAGCACTTCACATTGTGGACACCTTCTTCGGTAGCCACCGTCCAGACGCCTTGGGCAGGGCCATTCGATTGCTTTGCTGTTGCGAGAGCCTCGCGGCATCGCTCAAGGCGTTCAGCTAATGCCACCCCTGCAACGGCGATGCATCCCACTGCCGCCATGCCAATGAGCGCCCCTCCCGTGGCAGCGCCTGCCACCATTCCGCCAGTCAAGCCAATAGCACCCACAGACTGCAACACTGCCACGGTGCTGCCCGCAGCAACGCCGCCACTGCTCGCTACGGCAGCCGACGACATCATGCCAGCAGCGGCGCTGCCCGCAGCGATGCCAGCGGGAGTGAAGCCAATTGCTTGAATCGTTGCCACTGCAACAACAGGCCCCACTGTGGCACCCACGACGCCACTGGATGTTATTGCTGCGCACACGACGCCATTTCGCTTCTCTGCCATGGCCATGACGACACGACCTGTGTGGCCTTTCCTCAAGGCCGGATCGGAAGATCCTACAGAAAGGATTCGCTTAGCTTTGCAGTGTGACAGAAGCTTGAGCCAGTGAACACAAGCTTGAGCCAGAACACACTGCAGAGAAGGATGTTGAGGTGAATTGTGGGTTGGATTCGACCTGATGCATAGAGCTGGCAGTTGACCGACCATGGCATGAAGCACAATTTGGAAGCAGCTTTGGCACAACGTCCGCCTCCGCCTCCGCCTCCGCCTCCGCCTCCGCCTCCGCCTCCTCCTCCTCCTCCTCCTCCTCCTCCTCCTCCTCCTCCTCCTCCTCTCCTCTAGGGGAACAAAAAGTGGCATCAACATAACAACTCGGAGGTCCGCGCGGATTCCTCGGATCGGTGCTGGACCCCCTCCCTGGCGCGCGGAGCGCGCCAGGGGCGGCGCCAGAGGCGCCGCCGGAGGGCCCCAGCGCCGATCCGAGAACTCCGCGCGGACCTCCGAGTTGTTTTGTTTATGCCACTTCTTGTTCCTCTATCCTCGATCCTCCTCCTCCTCATCTTCGATCCTCCCCCTCCTCTTCGTCGTCCTCCTCTTCCTCTTCTTCCTCCTCCTCCTCCTCGTGCTCCTCCTCCTCCTCCTCGATCCTCCTGGCCGCGCCAGCAGACTGGGAGGAAGGGGCCCCGACCAGCCACCAAGAGCCGCCGCCAAGAGCAGCCAAGACTTGGTCAGTGGTCGGGCGTTGGCAAGACTGGGTTCCGTGGGACCTGGTTTCGCGAGGTGTGCTGGGGGCCCCCCCCACCCACCCCGTTCCACTAACTGGAGCTGCCGTCACCCGCAAAAGAAACACCAGCTATACGGCAGACCTGGTCTAGTGATTCTGACCAATTCAGGGGCTCCGGGGCCCCACCAATAACGGGGTCCCCTTACCTGGGGTCCTGGCCATACCCGATATGGAGCGGGGGGAGGCCAGGGTGCCCGCGCGGATCGGTGAGACGGTGAGTAAGGAAACGGCGACCTGCGTGGGCGTGCAGCCTCTGCCTCGGCCCAGTTCGCGTGGGCGCGTCTCGAGGCTGCCGGTAGAGTGCGCCCCACGTCGAGGAGGAGGAGGAGCAGGAGGAGGAGGAGGAGGAGGAGGAGGAGGGCCTTCCTCGGCTGCTGTCGATACTCGCCTCCTTGAGGTTCTAAGTTCTTATCCCTTCCTTCCTTCTTTCCGCTCGGCTTGACGCGGCCCGCAGTGTCGGGACCGCGCGCCTGGCCGGGCCGCCCAGCGCGGGCACCTACCCACAGGCGGGCCCCCTAGCGCCCGGCCTGCGTACCCTCCCCGTGGCCGAGGGTCTGCAGGGTGACGCCCGACGCGTTGCGGGAGGCGCCCGCCCTCCATTCCCCCGGGGAGGGGTCCACCCGGCGGCCCCTCCAGCATGGGAACTGGTGGAGTGCCGCGCGGGCGGGGACCCCCGGCGGCCCCGCACTGCGCCGAGTGCCGTCCGGGGGTAAAATTTGCCCCTAGTGTGTTTTCCCCCGGCCAGTGGCTCCTGGAGCGAACGCTCCAGGAGTCGCCTGGCTCTTTGTTCGATCCACCCTCCAGGGCCGACTGGCCCTGGGGAAGGGGGGCAACGTTCGACGAACTTTCTTGCCCTCAGTGCTTCACTCGGAGATGGACGGAACCCTCCTAAAAGAAACCGTGGTTTAGTGAAAACGACCTCGAGCCCAAACCTGGCGGGCGCAAGCCTGGAAAATGACGGCCGCGGCGCCCTCTTGAGAACCGAAAACGGACAATTCACTAATCGACGTGTCAGGGTGGGGGTTCTGTCCCTCCCCGATTCAGTGCTTCAGGAGGGAAGCGGAGGAGGCGATGGCAGGTCCAGGGGAGGCGCGCGACACACCCCGAGCGCACACTGCAGCCATTAGCTGCGGACTTAGACAAGCGTACGCACGCACACTTAGTTTCCTCCGCCGCGCTAGTGCCCAATGTAGCCGACCGTTGAACTGCAAAGCGGGCGGTGCAGGAGGGGAACAGAGGACACGGGGACAGCTAGCATTAGGTCGGGCATGTCATCCTACAGGCGGATTTAGGACGACAAATTATCAAACATAGTCAAATGTTGTCAAAAAAACACAATAGCCCTACAGGCGGGAATAGTCAAACTGATGTCTTTTCAATACCCCAAAATAATAGAAACACCGCCCGACTACAAGCCCGACTTCAAGCTAGCACCACGCCGCAGCTGCGATGACAGCGCCGGCGACCCTCTCCACTGCCTCTGTTGCTCTCTTCCCCTCCTCGGCGGCTCCTGTCCTCCTGCCCTCCCGTCCTGTCCTCCTGTCCTCCTGTCCTCCCGTCCCGTCCTCCTGCCCCGTCCTCCTGTCCTCCTGTCCTCCTGTCCGGCGGACTCAGCGCGCTCCTGTCCTCCTGCCCTGTCCCCCTCGGTGGCTCCCCGCGCGCCCGCCCCGCCGCCCACCGCACTCGGCCCCCCGGGGCCCCTCGCGGGGCCCCTGCCCAAGCGCCTCGCCTCGACCGGCGCCCGGCCGTGGCGACGGGCACCCCCGGAGACGGCCAGGGAGGCCTCCGAGGCGCAGGCGCCTGCAGCGCCCGCCGCCGCTGCCGCGGTCGCTGGGGCTCCCCCAGTCCCCCTCACGCGAGAGCCCGCCCCTCTCGCGATCTCGCCCTCTTCCCCCCCCGTGCCTCGTGCTGCTCGACCGTGACCAGCCGCTTGTCCCGCACGTTCCGCGGCACCAGCTCCCCGATGCCGCTGGCACACACGACCTGCTCCTTGCGGCCCAGGGCGGAGGGGGGGCATGAACAGGGACCGGGGAGACGTAAGCCTCGGGCCCGGGGGGCGCAGGTTGCCCTGACGGGGCCATCATGAAAACGACGAGACCCAGTCTGAGACTTGACGCGAGCTCCCGCTGCAAACATCCCACCAAAACCGGGCCGTCAAAATCCAGGATGCGCTCGTCAAAGGGCGTCGGCAAACCCGAGCTCAGGCGTACTCGAGTCTGACGTTTCCCCGAAAGGAAAAGCGACACCACCACCAGTCGAGGGCGCGCAAAACATGGATTAGCGATCCATGGACTTGGCGCGCGGCCGCTAAATCCATGGATCGAGGGAGGTGCCCTCCCCGAAATGCGGCCGGTGCCGCCTCGCTCGGCGGCAGAGATCCGCGATGTCCCATGGAAACGGGACCCGTCGCCAATCCACGCCCCCTTGATCCATGTTTGCGATCGCCCGAACCAGGGACCACGAGCGAGATGAGCCGGGGGGGTCCCCTTGGTGGTGCGCCCCCCCCCCGCACACCCTCTCGCTCGAGACATCCTCTCTGCATCCCCAGCTCGGGGAGGCGTCGTGGCACTCCTCCTCTGGAGGTGGCCCCCCTGGTGGTGGTGCTGTCGCTTCTCCTTCCCCCGAGGGGCAGGACGAAGCCGCCGCGGAGGAGAGGCAGGACCCAGGCGGCGCGGGGGCTCCGGGACCCCCCCACAAGCCGCGGGCGTGGCTACTGCTGCTGGGTCGGGGAGGCTCGGGTGTCGGAGGGCCGAGACGGGAGCCACGGCCACGGGCGTGGCCAGGGCCAAAGGGCCGGCAGCAGCCGTGGAGGGGCAGGGATCCGGAGGCCGACTCCTCTGGAGGAGCAGGAGTGGTGGCGAGATGGATCGTGAGGGAGGAGGTCACGGGGACTGGGATCCCGGGCCGCTGCGCGAGCGGCGACTGGGACGGAGGAGAGCGGGCGACCAACAGAGGGGAAGGCGGCACGGGGGTGGGGTGCTGCATTGCTGGCGTGATATTGTTTCGAGGGCCCCCCGCGACGAGAAAGCGAGAGGGAAGTAAACGATGATGCCGCCAGGCTCATCCGCAGCGGGCAGCTGTCTTTTCTAGGCTCGTAGCAGGGCCAGCAGCCTTGGCGAGCTGCAGAAGCATAATGACACACAAACGCACACGCACACGCATTGTCAATCTTTACGTCTAGTTTTTCGTACGTGTATACCCCACATGACTACACGTCGTTCGTGTCTGCTTCTTCACAGGTCCAGCCCTGCACATTCGATCTCTCCGGGTCCCAGGGCGACTGCAACAGGCAAGGAACACACACACACACACCTTTCAGGAACGAGCGGTCACTGTGCCCTTGCCCTGTGGCCTCGCCTGGAAGAGCCAGGAAGAAGCGCGTGCAAGCGGGGAAGAACGGGCCCGAAGCCTGCGGCGTTCGCGTGAGCGACAGCGGGGAGCGCGAGGGTGTCGGCCTCCTCCGTGGCCGAAGAACTGGCCGAAATTAGAAGGCAGAGAATCCACACCCATAAGAATCACCCCGACACGCGAAGTCGTTTAGCAAACGCACGCTTCATCTTGGCGTCGACGTTATGGATGGAAATGCCCCATGCCCGCTGTGCGGCGAGCTGCTGGACGGAGGTGGTGGGCACGCGTTGTCATGGATGTCTGGGGGAGATACCGCCTCGCAACATACTGGGGTGCGAGACGTGTACTTCGACTTCTGCGAGCGCGGAGGTTTACGCCCCGAGTGCGAGGCGCCAGGGGTGCTCCAGAATGTGCTTGGCCGGGACAGCAGACGTAGGCCAGCGGACGTGTTGTGTATTCCGGCGTTGGCGCTGTCCAGAACTCTTTCAGACGGCTCCCGGGCCATCCAGACCGAGCCCGTCTGCTTCGACTTTGCTGTCATCAACGCGCTGGGGCCGAGTCATCGGTCAGACACGGCTTCGGGCGCGGGTGCGGCCGCGGAAAAGCACGACGACTTCCAGCGAACTCATTAGAACACGGAGCAACAGTGCATTCAGGCAGGATGCCGCTCTTAACCGGTGGTGCACGAAGTGCAGGAGGGCACGTCCAAGGCTGCTGACGCGGCGGCCCGGGCCATCGCAGCAGCGGTAGGCGCCAGGGAGCGGCGCGCGCCAGGAGCGGTTAGACGTGAGCTCTTGGCTCGCATCGCGGCTGTGATAGCGCGCAGTCCGCGCGAGCAGTCAGCAAACGGTCGGCCATAGGGAGGTCCAACGGCACGCTCCCCACCGTGAGGCAACACCTCCGTGCCACTGACGGGGAGGAGGAGGAGGACGAAGTGCCTTCCTCCTCCTCCGCCTCCTCCTCCTCCTCCTCCTCCTCCTCCTCCTCCTCCTCCTCCTCCTCTTCCTCTGTCCGTCCTCCTCCTCCTCCTCCTCCTCCCTCCTCCTCCTCCTCCTCCTCCCTCCTCCTCCTCCTCCTCCTCCTCCTCTCTTCGTCCCCGTGCCTCCGCGCCCCCGTGGAATAATGCACCGGGGGCGGGACCCGGTCCGCCCCGCCCCCGCGCGGGGCTCCGAGCAGGGGCCTGGCCCGGCCACGGACACCGTGGCCGGCCGCCCGTCGGCGCCCCGAGCGCGCTGCGCGCCGTGGGCCTCTTTTTCCCCTCCCCCGGCCCGCTGGCCCTCGTGCGCCCCACCTGCCTCGCCCTGTCTCTGGCCCTCGATCGGCTCCCCCCTCTGCCCTCCCTCTCCCTCTGCCTCTCCGTGTCCATGTCCTCTCCCTCTCCCTCTCCCTCTCCCTCTCCCTCCCCCCTCCCCCCTCTCCCCCCCTCTCCCTCTCCCCCCTCCCTCTCCGCGTGTCCTCTCCCTGCCCTCGTGTTCCTTGGGCTCGTGGGGTGTGCGTGCTCTCTCCCTCTCCCTCCTTGCTGGGCTTCCTTCTCCCCGTCCCCCCCGTCCGTCCGTCTGTCGGCCCGGTCTGGCCTTCCCTGTCGCCCTCCTTGCCTCTCCCCATCTCGCTCCTCGGCTTCTCGCTTTCCTGCCCGTCTCTTGTCCTTGCCTGGCCTGCTTTTCTTCGTTGGCCTGCCCCGCGGTCCGAATAAAAGAGTTGCGGCGCTGCTTCTTGAGGCTATCTTGGGTGTTCTTGAGGCTCGATTTTCTTTTGCGCCAACATTATGCACCTATACCCGCTCGGTTTCTCACCTCCCTCCTCCCTTACAGTTGCCCTACTCGTGCCCTCTGGGCCAGCGTAGTCAAGCGGGGGCGGAGCTGTGCTACTAACTCCATCCAATCTGCACGCAGTCGATCCGCGTACTTGATACACCTCCGCTCCCTCCATTCGTCTCTCAATCAATTCCCCCCCCACAGGGCAGGGCTGTTTAGTAAACGCCCAGGGCCGTTTCGTAAACGTCAATTATCGGATCTGGGCGGTTTTTCCTCCCTTGAGAGATAGGCGCGCGCTCACCCGAGCATCCCGAAAGCGACCCCTGATCTTTGGAGGTATCCAGGCGTTTCTGGAGGTCCCCGGAGAACCCCAGAAGCCTCAGAAAGCTCGAGCCGAATCGCCTACGTCGCGCCCCGCGAGGCGCGGTCGTCCAAGCATGGAACCGACTTGGGACGAGCTGGTCAGAACAGGTATCGGACCAAGTCGATCGGATCGAGATGGGCCCTGGAACGCCAGATGGTTCAGCTCAACAAGGGGCCCCTCAGCGGGGGTTTTGGCATGGCGACCCCAAGCCTCGGCTTGGTGAGGTTACGACTGGAACAAAAATCAGGGGCTCAACTCGGGGATATACGTTCGGGGAGTGTTTATCCTCGATAGGGGGTGCGTCCAAATAGCTCCCATGTCGGCGTAACCCCGAGTTTCCCATATTTTCTGGGCGGCCCAGCTCGGGGATTCGGGGAGAGGGTGGAACGCACAAGGCCATGCTAGTACGATGTGTCCTCGAGGCGCACGTCCGATCCTGACATATAGTACGACCATCTTGCAGTATATCGTTGCCCGAGCGGTGTGGCCAGAAAGCGCTCGCCAGTGAGCTTATACCATATAAGAGCTCTTGGCGCGCGCGTCGCTGGGGGGGGGCGGGGGGGCGACACACACACACACACACACACACACACACACACACACACACACACACACACACACACACACACACACACACACACACACACACACACACACACACACACACACACACACACACACACACACACACACACACACACACACACACACACACACACATATATATATATATATATATACATATATTAATATATAATCAGCATGTCGGTGTGATGCCGAAGGAAAGCTGCCTGCGATGCACGGCCGCACGCCGCAGCCGACGAAGGCGGCGGCGTGCCTCGCGGACGGGCACAGCCCCAGCCTCTCGGGCTCCCCTGGAGGCCTCAGGGGGCACAGGGACCGTCGGGGACCGTCGGACACGCAAAAACACAGCCTCGATCGCCCTCGAGCGTGGATCCTCGATCGCCCTCGGTCTCCCTCGATCGCCCACGGCCGATCGAGGGAGGCCCCTGGACCGTCTTTCGGCGGAGATCGCTGGGCTTTGGCGGTCACCCGCGCGACGGCCAGGACCAAACGGCATCGAAGCGGGAAACCGGATCGGGCCGCAGCGGCGGCGCGGAGCCGGAACCGATGGTCGGCCATCGACGACGAGGCTCCAGGAGGAGGAGGAGGACGAGGAGGAGGAGGAGGAGGAGGAGGAGGAGGAGGAGTGCGAGTAGCTTCGAGGAGGAGGAGGAGGAGGAGGAGGAGGAGGAGGAGAGGAGGAGGAGGAGGAGGAGGAGGAGGAGGAGGAGGAGGAAAGATCGGGGATCGAGGACCGAAGAGGAGAAGGTGAGGGAGGATGACCCGAGGAGTGAGGAACGAGATTCGAGGCTCGAAGCGATCGTCGCTCGTCGGTCGGCGGCGGCGGCGGCGGCGCCTCGTGGTCGGGCAGCCCCAGCCAGATCGGCGCCAGCCTTCGGCCGCAGCCAGAGGGCGCCGGCGCCGCAGGCGCCCTGAGCGCGCGGCCACCGGCGGGGGTGGGAAGAGCGAGGAGGATCGAAGATCGAGGGTCGAAGAGGAGGAGGAGGAGGAGGAGGAGGAGGAGGAGGAGGATTTGGAGCATTTGCGCAGCAGAGCGTGCGGGAAAAGGAGGGGAGGGAGGAGGGTGAGGCGTCAGTCGGCCGAGGGATGCAAGCCGCGGCTGGCCGACGCCTGTGATGTAGCCACCTCGCGCTTACGCTCTCAGCCAGCTGCTAGGGCCGTCTTCGGTGGCCCTGCACCTGGCTGGGATATTTGCCTTGAGCGACTCGTGCAAGGTTCTCGGGTTAGGGCAGCCAGCGGCCAGCTGGCGCCCGTCAGCGGCGGCGGTACGACCGCAGTGGTGGTAAACATACATGCTGAAACGATCCCAAAGCTCAAGGCGGTGGGGATCACACACACACAGAGTGAGACCGTAGACAACCACGGGCCCTGGGACCGGAACGGCGCCAGGCTGGATGTGGGTGGAGCGCTTTCGGTTTGAGGGAATGCAGAGAACAAAGGATTGTGGAGCAGGAGGAGTGCTGCTTCCCCCGAGGAGTACGAAGAGGAGGAAGCGGAGCGGAGGAAGAGGCGTGGTGCATCGAAAGCGGTTCCTTTTCGAGCCCTTGGCGGGCCGAAGGCGCCCAACACCTCCATCCGGCCTGGAGCTGCCAGAACAGCAGCATCCTTTGGCCGCTTCCGAGCCCCGTCGGGCGAGCGGTCGGGAGCGCAGAGATCCAGGAGCCATTGCGCGCCAGGCAGATGAGGCCCCCGCGTCTGGAGCGCCGAAGGCGCTTGCCGCAGGTGGCGATATACAGCGGGCGGCTGGCCCGAGCGGCCTTGTCCCTCTGAGTGCCAGGGCGGGCCCTCTCTGGAGCCTGGAGACTGCAGCCGACCCGTACCACAAGGACGCGCGATGAGGGTGCAAAGGGCCTTGGAAGGCCGCTTCGAAGCTTTTCGAGCGGGGCGCGGCCAACGAAAGTGGCCAAGGATGGACCGAGCAGGCAAGGAGGCAAGGGCACCCTTGGCACTTGGGAAGGCTGCCCATCCTTACTGTGCGGGTTGACTGTAGCTCTCCTCCTAGCAAGGGCGGCGGCGGTGTCCCAAAAGTCGGTGGCAGGAACGTCGCCAACGAGGCCCGCCGTACAGTTCCGCATCGGGGGCCTCGCCCGCTGCTGGCAGCAGCCGCGGCGCTGCCCACGGCCAAGAGCCTGGCGCTCGAAGTGGGACCCGGGCCGTGAGGATCGCTGTCGGAGGGAGCCCATCGCACAGCGACTTCACCTCCCCCACCGCTCGCGACAGCCCTCCGGAGGCGCAGTCCCAGGCGCGACCCCCGCCCTCTGCTCCCAGCCGTCTAACAGAGGCTCAGGCTCGGTGGCGAACCTGAGGGAGCCCCATCGAGCCCCCGAGGGCCAGAGCAAAGGCGGTGAACTCAGCGCGCGGACCAGTCTGAGTGTGGCCAGCCAGGCCAGCTGACACTCCTCCTAGCACCAACCACCTATCCTCCGAACCTTGGGACAAGGCAACAGGCGCTGGAACTGCAAAATGATACTCAGACACATCGTGCATGCCCTGAGAGATAGTCTCCGAAACAACACGCAGACATAAGTGAACACCCGACATGGCTGCGCTGTCCAATGAAAAGCTCCCAAGGGCTGCTGTGAGCACAATTGCAGGAATTCATGTCGCTCTGCTAGTATCTAGGACCGCCGATGCTTACGCTGAGTCCTGCGTGGTTCGGGAAACGGGGATCTAAACGAACGTCTCAGACCGCCAACCAGGTAGCTTCCTTCAACTGGCGAAGCCTGGATCGATGCATAGGTGGGCGATGAACTTGCAGAGCGATCCAAAGGGAACGGCTTGTAATGTAGATCGTAGACCAGCCCTGTGGGCGAAGGTGGTCTAGCGAGCTCTTCCTTCACTCTTCCAACAACCTCTCCCCTTCCTGGAGGTTCACCCCCCCTCCTCCCTGAGGTTTTCGTCGGGGCGTGCCGCGATCGGTCAGAGCGTCCAAGACGGAGTCGGCGAGAAGGCCAACATCATCGATGTTTCTTTAGTTGCGGGTCCATTTTGCTCCCCCCCCCAGGGGGTACCAAATGTTAGCACCCCCTCCTCCCTTTTGATCGATGGCCTCCACAATGGTCCCAAGAGGTACCCCAGGCATCCGGAGGGACCCACAAGAGGGCTCCAAGAGGGCCACAACAGGGCCCCCAAGAGCCCCCAGAATAGCCCCGAGAAGATTCCAAGATCCCAGAAAGACAGCCCCAAGAAGTTTTCAAGGGGCGATGGTGAGGGCTCTGTCCTCGTTCTCGTTGTCCTCCTCCTCCTCCTCCTCCCCATCCTCGTCCTCGTCCATGCCATCATCGTCTTCCGTTTCCTTTATCATTCTCTTCCTCTCCTCGTCGTCGTTGTCGTCGTCGTCATGGTCGTGGTCGTGGTCGTCGTGGTTGTCGTGGTCGTCGTGGTCGTCGTCGTCGTCGTCGTCGTCGCCGTCGTCGTCGTCGTCGTCGTCGTCGTGGTCGTCTTCATCCTCCTCCTTCCTTCGCCCCCACGCGGGCCCTAGGGATGACACGAAAAGGCCTTCTGAAGCCACCCCTTGCTCCACGAGATCGCTCTGTTCACCATGGTTGTCCGCTTTGTTTCGCCACATGTGTCTCTCCGTCCACTGTTCCATCAACTCTCGTGGGCAGTGGTTGAGACTTGACTGATGAGGATGCGCGAAGCGCGAAGAAATTCCAAGCTGAGATGTGATGTGGTGTAGACTGGACTTGACGCGGACAGCCACCATGGCCCTAAGGCAGTTGAGTCCCTACACACGCCTGTACATGTACACAAATCTATGTATAAGTACACATGCACATAGACATATTCTGACACATAATGAACAGGTACGCGTGAGCGACCACTGCTCGAAACCTCTCGAACAAAAAGACGCGCGGCCTGTTGTTCGAACACCTCAGCCGTTTCCTGGCATTCTTCCTCGGGGGCCGCTGGACGAGAGCGTCAGAGCCTCAGGAACCCCAGCAGCGCAAGACTGCTCGGAGGCCAGCCTTCAAGGCCCGACCCCCCCTGGTATATTTCCCTGGTATGCGTTTTGACGACATCGGCCCACCAAAGTTGTCCCTGGTATGCGTTTTGACTACAATTTCCCTGGTATGCGTTTTGACGACATCGGCCCACCAAAGCTGTCCCTGGTGTGCGTGTTGACTACAAATGTCGAAGCGGACCCGGCCGTGGCGACGAGGGCGCCCCGGGAAGCCGCAGCAACTGCAGGAGCAATCCGAGAACCTCGATGCTCTGTGATCTCCCTCCTCGGATGGTACGCCGCAGCCCAGAAGCGTGCGCACTCTCTGGTGGTCCGAAGCCCAGAAGCGTGCGCGATCCTCTGTGATCTTCCTCCTCGGATGGTGCTCTTACTCCTCGGATGGTTCATCGCTGGATTGAACCCGAGACCTCTCCTGGGGTGCGATGTCTGATGCCAGCCCTGTGGGCGTAGGTGGAGGTTGTTCTTCCAAGCTCCTTCGTACCCTTCGGGGAGAGGTGTACCTCTCCCCCGACCCCCTCTCCCTGTGTCTGGGGGGGATGGGGCACCGCGAGTAGAGCGTCCAAGATGGCCCGAGATGGTCTCCACGATCGCACAGCATAGCGCAAGATGGCCTCCAACATGCCCCGAAGAGGCGCCTCGACCGTCCCAAAATGTACGGGATGACCCTTGGTTTGGGGGAGAATCTGCGACATGGAAACGTGCATGTGATGGAGCGGCTGCCATGCCTCTCTGCCGCTGTATAACCTCACCCAGTCATAAACAAACCGGGTTCTCCTTAGCACCGTACCGTACTTAGATAATTCTGGGGGGCGGTTTTCGCCGAACGATATGATTAACACCGCGCAAATGGAACGAACATAAATAATTCCTGCGCCCCGGCTCGGGTGGTATCCCAATTGGAGTTGTGATAATAATACACAAGGGGAGAAATACGAGTAATAATGCTTATTATACTTATTATTAAAAAGTAGCAATAGGGATAATAATAAGAGTACTAATGCTACTACGAATATGAATAAGAATGGTAATAAGAGTAAGGAAACTAATAAGGAAAAGAAGAACAAGCATCACAATCCGAATAATAATAATAAAAAAATAAGAATAAGAATAATGATGAGCATCGTACTAAGAGCTTGCTCTCATTATCTTACCATCCTTGTCCTATACGATGTGTATTACCACCCCTGTTGAACAATTGCTGCTTCCCGGCCGTCGTGTGGGGTAGTGCATCCGAGGATATCGCCCCCGCCACGCACGGCGCGTTATCTTAGCACCACACCCGCACACAAGAATTACGCCAGTTTGCCCAAAAAGACACAAGCACAACAATACGAATAATAACAATAAGAAGAAGACGAACAATAATAACAACGCATAATATTAAGACGAATGATACGAATAGGAATAATAACGCGAACAAGAGTAATGATAATAATGATAAACATCTGAAAACAGACGGGCCCCCTGCATTTTTCCTCCCTCCTTTTTTTTTCATGTTCTTGATCATCCTTGTCCTATACGAATGTTATTACCACCCCTATTGAAAACATGTGTTTTCCCTGCCGTCGCGTGGGGTAGTGCATCCGAGGATGTCGCCCCCGCCACGCACGGCGCGTTATCTTAGCACCCGCACCGCCCAAATTATTCGCCCCCCATCGTAAGCACTGACGGTTCCTTTTCAAAGCTGGGCTGTCCCTTGCTGGGGCGCCCCTGCTCGGAAAACCGAGTGCTGGGAAGACGCGCGGCCACTCCAACTTTCGCCAAGACCGACCACCTGACGCAGACTCGTCTGCGCCCAGAGCAGTTTCTGAGGATGTCTCAGGCGAAGCGCTTGCTTCAGAACCACAAGGAGACCATATTGCGAGAATGTCTCAGGCGGTTTGCTTGTTTCGTTCACGTACAGGTGCAAGGTGCCAAGGTAACGTTTCTGGGGTGCCCGGTGCGTTA